TACGGTATCTGCCGTATTTACTTGATATTACACTGATCTATTATCATTTTTCAATCAGTGCAAAACGCTCTGAGGGGGGAAAACTTTTTCTAATGAAAACCAGATTAAAGCGTTCATCGAATTTTTATTTTTTTTTTTTACTCAAAAAGGTGTTGAAAGCTGCCTGATAAGTGGCAACAAGTCATCAAAATTATGGAAATTTTGAGAGGTTTCCCCCCCGCAAAATTGAGAAAATTTTAAATGTGAATATCTAAGTAACTACAGGTCCCAGACAAACGAAATTAAATAGGTTTAATGTTGAACAACATAGAAGTTATTTATCAAAATTCGAACGAGATATTCAAAAGGGATGTCGATTTCATAACGGATTTCACAAAGCTTCACGAAAATGTTTAATATGCACATCACAAATGACACGACACACGTCAAGTCGGTAGTCTAGCTTCTGCCAGACACACTGTAGCATGACATGCATAACATTCTCCAGTGCCTCAGTGATTCCCTAGGCTTGTAGAAGAGAGGGGGATATAGACCTGTCCTTTCACATAGCCCCATAGAAAAATATCCCAAGGTGTCAAGTCAGTGAATGTGGTGGCCATTTCAACAGCACATTGTCACTGGCACGCCTGATTCATCTTCCTGGTAGGTTCTAATTGGAATAAGTCTGCACAAGCCTTCCATATATATATGCTGTTGCTTTTTCACTGCTGAAGTTCGGATTATTTTTCAAACTCGGCCTATGTTTCGATCTGCGTGTAAAGACGTTCTCCCTCCCCACCATATTAATTCAATTGTTTACAAATACGTTTGTAGTTGCGGAGCCAACTACATAGGGAGAACAACTCAGCGCTTAGACATGAGAATAAAGCAGCACGTTCCTACTAAAATTAGAAACCACACCTTGCCTTTAAATGGACTCGTCCCGAACACCTACAGTTCCGCCATATGCGAACATCTTTTTAAATAGCAGAGATTGTGCTTCCAAATTTAGTGTCGACTGGTTCACCGTGTTGGCCCGGTCACACTCTGTATTTCATCTGAAGTTTCTGGATATATATTTTTACATCGGGTCCCGCAAGCCTTCTTTTGTGCAAACAACGTGAGTGTTTGCTGGGACTCGCTGTCATCTGCCTCTAGTTCCTTCTTGCATATATATATATATATATATATATAAAATATATATATGTATATTTTTTTCTACCTGTTCTTATTGTACATTTCTGTTTTAATTTTGAATCTCCCGTGGAAGCCTGACGAGCGGGAGCGAAACCGGTTGCTTCCTCACCCTTGTTGTTCAGTTTTTTTTATTATTTAATATTGTTTTAATATGTCTTGTAATATTAAATTGTACACTTTTATTTCGATCATTAAATTTTGTACCTACAAAAATATCTTATATATATATATATATTGTGCCCCCAAAATTTACATAATTTAAAATATGAATATCTGATTAACTGCATGTCCCAGGCAAACAAATTTAAATAGGCTGCATGTTGAACAATAAACGATTTATGTATCAAAATTCGATATTCAAAGGGATGTAGATTTTATAACCGAATTCCCAAAGATTCACAAATGTTCAATATACGCATCATTTGTGACACGACACAAGTCGATAGTCCAGCTCCTGCCAAACACGCTGTAGCATGTTTTGCATAGCATTCTTAAGCGACTTAGTGATTCTCTGCTTAAGTTCCTCTAAGTTTGTAAGAAGAGGGGTGATATGGATATGCCCTTTCACATAGCCTCATAGAAAAAAAAAATCACAAGCTATTAAGTCAGGTGAATGTGCTGGCCATTTTAACAGCACAAGGTCATTATCACTGGCACGCCCGATCCATCTTCCGGGTGGATACTCATTGAGATAAGTCCACATAGCTTAAATTTTAACAAAATGTGTAAAGAACGAAGATCCTCTGAGTGAGAATTGACTATGTTATTAAACTACAAAAGGATGTCAGTTTTTTGTCGGACACGCTGTATACTTAAATAAAGTGTAACTGTGCTTTATTTTTGGGAAGAATAAAGTTTATGAACAAAAACGGAAAATATTTATTACCTTGCTCACTTGAAAAATGTGGTTATCTGATAGAAAAGGTGTTATGTCCTAAGCTGTTTAACACATCTAAATATAAATACAAGCAAGTATTATGCAACCAAATAGTAAATGTTATTTGCTTTAACACTATCTGTTGCTTTACTTTTGCTCACCTAAAAATGGGGTTATCTGATAGAAAAGGTGTTATGTCCTAAGCTGTTTAACACATCTAAATGTAAATACTAGGAAATAAAAGCTGAAATTCTGTCATCCTTTTTTTAATCTTAAATATCATCGATAAACAATAAAAACAAAGGAATTGGCCTTGCCGTTTCAATAATTTTGGAGGGGCCTCTCTGTCTCTTTTTATATACAAGGGAATTTAATAAAGAAATAAATACGTGGCAGGAGGCACAGACAGATACACTCAAGCTTTTTTTTTTGGCACGCCAGATCAAATGGTATTTTGTCTTACAAAGGCTGACGCAGGTTCGAACACTGCAAGAAAGCATATTTCCTTTGGGATCTCGCGTGTGCCGTCCGATAGGTGTAATAAACACTGTTTAAAATAAGAATGGCGCGTCTATTTCAAATACGGGTATCCGCTAAAAATAACGTTGAAGTAATATACAATAGATTTAATGTTATGTTGGGCTCTGGTTTAGAGTCTGCTAAACTCTCCAATTATATTTAAGGCCAAATAAAGCATTTCAATCGTTATTTTGTTTAAATCTTGATGTTATATGTGGATCAGTGAATTTTTAGTAGAAGTTAGTTGTTATTAGAGACACTGGTTTCTAATATAAGTTACTTGCATTATTTACATTATTCGGACCGTTATCCTCATCTTCATTGCCATATTCATGACGTTCACTCCGGCCTTCTTAAGGTGGTTGAAATTTCGAACCGAACCGTTTATTTCGTCCATCAGGGGGTAGATTGATCTAGTTCCATGCACCATGCTTCTTCCGGATGTCTGTTATTTCACTGTAACTCATCTCTCCAAGTCTTGTGGCCTGGTATTGAACTCACAACTCTTTGGGTCTAATCACTGGATCTAAATAACGTCTTTATCAACTGGGCCAAGTGTTTCTGATAAAAGTTGATTAGAGTTTGCATTGTTATTTTAGAAGACTTTATGAAGTCTGAAGGGTTCTTTTTCTCTTTGTTTTCAGTTTCCAAAATATATTAACGATTTTATGGAGTTTTGTTGAGAGGTTTTATCGTTGCATATTTTGGCATAAAGTTTAATTTAAGAATTTAAGGATATTGTTTGGTTTAGTGACCTGAAAGTGTTCTTTTGTATTGCTTGCTTGATATCTTGTTCGAATTTGACTGAGATGATGGCAACTTATGAGTAGATATCCGTCTGTAGGAGTTACTGAAGATCTGTTGCATGATGTGGCAGTTTTATTTTTTTATAGATCTGAGGATGTCCGTCATCTGGGAAGTGTTCTAAGCGCGACATTGAAATCCGAAGACGTATTGGGATGGCCAAAAATGCACCCCAAAAGCTAAACAGTGTGTTAAGAGACAGAAAAATTTCGTTAGAAACAAAGAAAAGGGTAATGAAATGTCACGTGGTATCTGTTCTCCGGTATGGCAGTGAATGTTGGACAATCTCCTCAAAGATGAAGAGACACAAAGCAACAGAAATGTGGTTCTACAGAAGGATGCGAGTGACGGCGAGGTTTTGGAGAAAATGAAAACAAAGAAACTTATACTTAACATCAGGAAGAGGCAGAAGAAATTTCTGAGGCAAGTAATAAGGAAGGAAGGCTTGGAAAATCTGATACTCACAGGACAGAGAGGGAAAGAGGAAAGCAGCGTGTAACATACTTGATGGGCAAAGGGATAGCAGATCAGGATTTGGGAGAAATAACAAAAAGAAAACCTATTGAGAGCTACAAGGGACGGGAAGATGTGGAGAGCCATGGCACATAATAGCAGAAGAGTATGTAAGATGTGTATGTCCTATTTGGAGTCTAGATAAAACTATTTCCCCACAGTCTTATTTTTCTGTAACCTGGGAGCCATTCTCCTATAGCTGGCTGAAGATCATATAACTTGTTAGGTTTTGAGTCTTTCCATTGTCTTTTGAGTCGTTCATTTTGTTTCTGAAGTCTGTATGGAGAAATCTAAGGATATTTTTACTATTACTGACATCAGGACGGAAATAATGGAAGAGTGGTTTGCCCATATGCTCACTCGTCTACTGTTCATCAACCATCGTGACACTTATTTGTTAAGATATCTGCCGATGGAACAGAGCGCAAAGCTATGAGTTCATGCCTTTCTTTAAGTGTATGAGAGCTCAGTGTTTATAACCAGCATCGGTCGGAATTTGAATTCTGTAGATTCAATTTGTCGTTACGCTATCTCGCACTTCTACACAGCGATAAATAAAAAGACAAATGAAAATTGACGAATATATATATATACCGAATATATATATATATATATATATATATATATATAGAGATAAAAATAGAACGTCCAACAGACACGGAAAGACAGGTGAGAAAGAGATAAAGATAATGAGCGAAAGAAACGGAGAGAAAAAAAAAAGAGGAAAACACAAACAGCTAACAGGAAAAGACTCACAGAAAAGAGCGCGAGAAAAGAAAGAAAAACATCTATAGGCATATAACACGAAATAATACATATATAATTAAACAGTAAGCAGGCAGAGGCACATACATGAGTGTGACACAGAAGCACAAGAGAGAGAAGAGAGCACAAAGAATGAGAGAGAAGCACAAGACCAAAGAAGCAAATATACAAGTTATTTGTAAAAATAAAAAGAAAGAAAAATTGACAGAGCAGAGAGAAGCAAATTACAGAAATTTAACTACCGAACGTTCAGTGAATCAGACCATGGAAATAAAGTTAATTACCTCTAAAATTAGTTTCTACCTTCTCCCTCGAAGGCGTCACCTTGAGCTTTTGCCGTACAAGGTCATAAAGAATAGCTGCACACGTCCAACAGACACAGAGAGATGAGAGAGAAGCACAAGAGAGAGATGAGAGAGAAGCACAAGAGAGAGATGAGAGAGAAGCACAAGAGAGAGATGAGAGAGAAGCACAAGAGAGAGATGAAAGAGAAGCACGAGAGAGAGACAAAAAGAGAAGCACGAGAGAGACAAAAAGAGAAGCACGAGAGAGAGAGACAAAAAGAGAAGCACGAGAGAGAGAGACAAAAAGAGAAGCACGAGAGAGAGAGACAAAAGAGAGAGAGATGAGAGAGACAAGAGAGATGAGAGAGAGAGAGACAAAGAAGAAGCACCACAAGAGAGAGAGAGAGACAAAAGAGATGAGAGAGAAGCACAAGAGAGAGATGAGAGAGAAGCACAAGAGAGAGATGAGAGAGAAGCACAAGAGAGAGAAGCACAAGAGAGAGATGAGAGAGAAGAGAGAGAAGCACAAGAGAGAGAGAGAGACAAGAGAGAGAAGAGAAGCACAAAGAGAGAGAGACAAAAGAGAAGCAGAGAAGAGAGAGAGAGATGAGAAGAAGCACAAGAGAGAGCACAAGAGAGAGAGAGAGACAAGAGAGAAAAGAGAGAAGCACAAGAGAGAGAGAGAGAGAGAGATAAAAGAGAGAGAGCACAAGAGAGAGAGAGAGAAGCACAAGAGAGAGATGAGAGAGAAGCACAAGAGAGAGATGAGAGAGAAGCACAAGAGAGAGATGAGAGAGAAGCACAAGAGAGAGATGAGAGAGAAGCACAAGAGAGAGATGAGAGAGAACAAAGAGCACAAAGAGAGAGAGAAGACAACAAGAGAGAGAAAGAGAAGCAAGAGAGAGAGAGAGAGAGCACAAGAGAGAGAAAGAGAAGCACAAGAGAGAGAGAGAGAAGACAAAGAGAGAGAGAGAGAACAAAGAGAGAGAGACAGACAAGAGAGAGAAGAGAAGCAAAGAGAGAGAAGCACAAGAGAGAAAAGAGAAGCACAAAGAGAGAGAGACAGACAAAAGAGAGAAGCACAAAGAGAGAGAGAGAGACAGACAAAAAGAAGCAAGAGAGAGATGAGAGAGAAGAGAGAGAGAGAGAAGCACAAGAGAAAGAGAGAAGCACAAGAGAGAGATGAGAAGAGAGAGACAGACAAAAAGAGAAGCACAAGAGAGAGAGACAGACAAAAAGAGAAGCACAAGAGAGAGAGACAGACAAAAAGAGAAGCACAAGAGAGAGAGAGACAGACAAAAAGAGAAGCACAAGAAGAGAAGAGAGAGAGACAGACAAAAGAGAAGACAAGAGAAAAGAGAAGCAAGAGAGAGAGACAGACAAAAAAGACAGACAAAAGAGAGAGCACAAGAGAGAGAGAGAGAGACAAAGAGAGACAGACAAAAAAGAGAAAGAGAGATGAGACAGACAGACAAAAAAGACAGAAAAAGAGAAGCAGAAAGAGAGACAGAGAAGATGAGACAGAAAAGAAGAAGAGACAAAGAGAGACAAAAAGAGAGAGACAGACAAAAAAGAGAGAGACAGACAAAAGAGAAGCAAAAGAGAAGACAAAACAAACAAAGAGAGAAGACAAACAAAGACAAAAGAGAGACAAAGAGAGAGAGAACAAAAGAGAAGCAGACAAAAGAGAAGCAGACAAAAAAGAACATAAGATAAGCACAGAGAGACAAAGACAGGGAGAAACACAGACAGGGAGAAACACACGCGGAAAGAAATATTATTTTTTATTTAATTTTTCCATTATTCAGTTCATTTTTCGGGGCGAATTTGAATATAAATTCGCCAACGTTTTTTTTTTCTAGGCTTTTCGTATATCAAAGAATATCATGCGTATTTATGTGGTTGTGTTTATAAGTAGGCATTATTTCTTTCGGGATTTCGACTATGGCGTTTTCACATGTCATTGCATCTTATGACGTCAGTTTTCAAGTATCGCCTCTTCACGCATAACTTTATGCTGTCGGGTCTTAATTGTAAACTGCACTTTGTTTGTTGACAATGACTTAGAAAGGCTTTGAAAACCGAACTTATATGTTCCATATCTATCCAAGAACTAGACAAAAATAAGGATACACTAACTGTTAAAATGTTTAAGAGCATTCGTTGTCTTCAATCAAACGTGCATAAATGAAGACTGGCTGTCCAAATACACAATATACGCATGCGTACACCAACTAGAGATTCTATGAATGAAATGTCTTTTTTTGTTTTAGTTTATAATATAATGTTTACATATAGAAAGTTCTGGCTTTCCAAAAACAAACATTACATCTTGAAAACGAGATAAAAGTAAATAATTGCCGCCTATCCCGGATGTGAATGGTCGGTTGGTAATGAAAGCACAACTCCGGATGTAGAAACGCGAATTAGCACGCAACCTTCGACCCATATCGCTTGAGGCAACAACATTCTTTTACTTGCACACGCCTGCACATAAAATCTAACGCGTAGCCACATTTAAAACATCTACATGTAAACAATATAACTACAGGATCTCCCCACGCCTTATTCACGGGGTGGATATTTTCCAAGAAGAAACTATGTCTACGAGTTTTTTTTTTTTAATTTTCTTTTAACACAATGATGAGCATCTTGTACAAGGCCCGAGAGATACTCGATCTAGAGGTTCGCAGTGTAAGAAGCACAGTTTATGCGGATATCTGGGGAAGATAACCTGTTTAAGTCTAGGTTTAACCGTTAAGATCGTAGCGAACGAAGAAGCATTCTCTTGGGAGTCGGTTCTACAAAGTAGCGGTTTCTGAGAAGCTGCTAGAGATGAACTTACATCTCGCCAATAGAATACGAAGGGAATGAGAAAAGGAGTAGAAAATGGTTCATCACCCACAAGGATGCGGAGACGTTTTTTGAAATATAAAGACTAGAAAGTGAAGACATGGCAATTCCTGCACATATATGACAACATTATTTCATTTTTTAGTCCGATCTGGCTCTGATAAAAGCAGAGGAGCTTGCTGGAGCGCTACAGGGAACCGACCTTTTCACAAGACTCTTTAGCGATGGATCATACATACGAGTTGCGGTTCAGCTGGGTTTAAGTGCCAATGATCGCTCAAGGCACGAGGTCTCCATGAGGGAACATCCATTCATCGTAACTGGTGATCGTTTAGGTCATGTGTTATATATATATGTGTGTGTGTGTGTGTGTGTGTGTGTGTGTGTGTGTGTGTGTGTAAGTGATGCTTTTTCACTCGAGATCAATTCAACCGATTTTGACCAAACCTGGCACATACATTGTACTATGTAAGGGATAGGTTCTTAGCGTAAAAATCGATAATCTAAAAAAATCAATCGATAAGCCCGATCAAAATCGATAAATTCAACTTTTTTTCTTAGATTTCATTCAAACTCTGTATGTAGGTTACTTACATGACGAGCTTACCGACACCTCATTTTTATTTCTACTCCACGGTGTTTAGCGAAAAAAAACGAAAAAAATCGATTTCAACACAAATTTTAGACTAAAAACTCCCTCATTTTTCAAACAATCTTATACAAACTTCACTCAATTGTAGCCAATAATAAGTTGATTGTTTAACAGTCATTTAACTTGATAATTGACTCCACCCAGATAGTGAAATCCCGCGTAAATAGCGAAAAATGGAGATTTTTACTGGTTTCTTTCTTATTTTTCATTCATCTTTTAACAAATTTTCATCAAACTTAATTGCTTTATAAATGTATCCTCTTTTACATCCCTGGTTGCGCACTGACAAATTGAATTTCAAAAACCCTAAAATAATTGTGGTTTGAAGTGGGTCTTCATATTTTGCCCATTCATATCCTCCGCTAAATTCGATTGAATAAATACAGACTACTTCTGTTATATCAGTAACTGCATCAATTCAAAATGTTTTTAATGAAAGTACTTTAAAGTAATTGAAGAAGATAAACTATTATATATATAAAAACATGATGCTGTTTTTGCTCCATTCTCCACTCCAATTGAACGCTTTTCCTGATCGACCAGCTGGGTATGGCTGCTAGTGAACACTAAAACCGACAACAATGACTGTCAAGAAATATTTTAGATGTTCTTCAGGGTATTAGTTCTCAGAAACTTTCTGGTATTTGTATATTTTAGTAAGGTTTTCTGATTACTATCTTAAATCCTTGATCTGAATGCATTTACACAAACACGTTGGGTAGGTTACACGTTGCTTTCCTCAATATCTCTTTCAGTATATGCGGTGAGTGTCAAATTCTCCAAGCTTTCTTTCCTCTTTGTGTGTTTAAAAAGTTTCAACTGTCTTTCTCTTTAATTAAAAGCGTCCTTTTTGCTTTCATTTTCCTTGAAACTTCCTGGCTACATTCTCCACCCATGACATTCTCATCATGCTTCTGTAGATCCGCATCTCTATCGCTTAAAGTTTGCTCTTCATCTGTTACGTAATGATAGAATGTAGGAACGGAAGACGATGAAATAGGGTTTGGTGAAAAAGCTGTCTGATTGGATCTTGCTCGGAATGAATTAACAAAAATAAATAAATAAATAAATAAAATGGCGATAAGCTTGTTATGTTACGTTTACAGGAAAAGGGCGGCTGTACAGTAAAATCTAGGTCGTCCCTCATAAATCTAGTAAAACATTTGCAGTCTGACAATACTGGACTGGAAATATGGCGCACATAATATGAACACTTGGTATAGAGTGATGGTTAAGAAGCTTATTTCAAAGAGCAGAGGATCGTTGCGATTTAAATAATTTCTCAGTAATTTCAGCTTTGTTAAATATATTATTAGCTTTGTTCACTTTGACAGACTGCTTTTGTACGCGTGTATTTATAAATACAATCTTTTTTAGTAGAAGAAATGCGAGACAATGAGACAATTTTGTTACTGTAGTAATAACTTGTAAGACTTGATTGCTAATCGTTTTTCCACAAATAGACACATTATGCAAAACACAGCCGATCGTTGCAGTCCGGAGACGGACAGGAGAGAAGTCGAGTGCCGGGCCACGCACAGGGTCAAGAGCGTTGGACTACGAACAGGATTTCTTTCTCTTCAGAAGTGTTGTTCTGTACAAGTTAACCCCATGTTCACTGGTCATCTACTCTAGTCCCGTCAATTTTCAAGAATCTAGACATTGATTCGTCAGTATTCAATTCTGTCTTAACAGCCTCAACGCCCGTCTTCTCTTCTTCCAGCAGAGTTGAAAAATGGAACATTTTATTGAATTTTCTCGATCGAAATTATTTTGGCTAATTTTGTCTGACAATACGTCACGAGTGAATAGAAAAGTCGATACACAGGTAAAGCAAACGATAAATTTGATGTAATCCATACAGAAATTCATTTTTACCCCCGAATTCCGGGGAATGCTTGAAAACGCGGATAGTAACGAACCTTGTGTATACCATGTATTTCTCTATAGAAACAAATCTATGATAAAGTTGAATTTATAAATTACTAGAATATTTTTGGCAACACAGTGAAGCCTGTTGAAATCCTTACAATATTTAGTAATGTTAAAGTTATCGCTCACATTTTTTTGCAGAGATTTACAAACTACGTTTCGTTCAATTTCGCAGACCAATCGATGAAATTCGCATAAGCTGATTTGTTTGAAAAAAACTTCGAAAAAATAAATAAATAAAAAAAAAATAAAAAAAATAAAATAAAAAAAACAAAAAACCCCAAACAAACCTATTTCTCGGTTTAATATTTTCTTTAATTTAATAAGACTTTATAGTAAACAATATTGTTAAGAGAAATTATTTTTTTTAACCTTTTTAACAGCAAGAATGTATTCTTCGGATTTCTTCATCTTGAGCATGCAACATACAACTGGCCATACGTATACATTTCTTTCTGGAGTCAAATTCCAACTTTTGGCCTTGGAATTTGTTTATAGTTCTCGCAAACGCATGGCAAACTGGAAACTGGATTCTTGTATATAAAAACTTAAAGAGAAGATATGAAAAAAAAAACCAAAAAAAAAAACCCAATATTTTATTGAAAAAGTATTTATTTCCAGAAACGTTAATGAAAATTTGTTGTATTAAGCTATTCACCCTAATAAAATCAACTGTACTTTGTACCCCCTTAGCGGTTTTCACCTTTCCACAAAATTTGGTTTCGATCAGTCAATGTATGGCTATTTTAGAGGGTGTGACGGCCGGCCGGACGTCACAGAATTATATATATATATAAGCCTAAGAGTTTTAAAATTGCTAATAACGAAGTAGAAGAATTATAACAATATAATTTAATAAAAGGTTACTCGCCTTAAGCGTGCAAATTTCATGGTTTTTCTTTCACTTTCTGCTGAATCAATTAAGTGAAACGATTGAATAAGCTTGTTGTGACTTACACGGCTATAAAAGTCCCATGAAAATTTCTGAATTGTATCGTTAATTTTTTAAAATCTTAACCTTAAAATATAGCAAAATAAATACAATAAATATAAAAAGAAACTGAAAACAGTACAAATGAAGAGTAAACATCAACAGATTTACAGTTCGCAGAAGCATTTGTCAAACTCATGACAGCATTATCATCTCTCACTTTCTTAAGCATGCTTTTTCTTCACGAATCATTCACTTACGCGTAAAGGTATTTGTGAAATGTATGAATTCATCTCTCTTCCCCAGCTATGAGTTAAATAGGATTTGTAATTTGGGGTGGGTGGAATCGTTATTCTCAAGAGAACTGCTAATGCATATTTACTCAAAAAAAAAAAAAAAAAAAAAAAAAATACACACACACATATATATATATATATATATATATATATTCGTACTATCAAAAAAATGTTATAACACAAAAGTGATTGCGGTGAAAAAACAAAAAAAAATCAATTTCTTAGTAAAACAGCGTCTCTGATATGTTTTCCTTCTTTAATCGCAATAAAAACCAATAAAAACTATCGGAGGAATAGATAATTATAATTCAGAGTGTTCCTCTGATACTTAATTAGTAAACACTCCGCCATTAACCTAGATAAATAATGGACAATTCCGGTTTTCGTATCAACGTAAACATCACTTTATTCCGAAGGAGTCTTAAAAGGTAAAAACCTTTGCTACTTTGTCATGGTTTTGTTACACACACACACACACACACACATATTATATACACACACACACACACGTGTGTTTGTGTGTGTACACTAGGTATGTCTGAAAAGCAACGGGACTGGGCGTGGTGGATGTGCTCCCGGCGAAAAAGGAATAAACGGATTTTGTTATCGAAAATGATATCTTGGTAGTATATAACTAAGAAACCATTTCATTTTTTTTCTCATGCGATATTTGTGGACAGGACAAATCGTGGCTACTTCACCAAGACAATTAACTTCCTCGCAATGCCCCGAACATCCGGCACTTCATAACCGAGAAGAACATCGCCGTATTGGAACCCCCCCCATTCACCTGATCTTGGTCCGTGTGACTGTCTTTTTCCCAAGCTCAAGGGCATCATTAAAGGAGACCTGTCTTGAAGGCGTGGAGGCCATCACGAGGGCCTTAATTACGATGCTGAGGGTCATCCAACAAGAATACTTACAGCAGTGCATCGAAACGTGTCAGAGAAATGTGTAAAAGTGCATTAGAGTTGATGGGGATTACTTTGAAGAAGGAACCACGTATTTTGCTGTTTGGAATCGAAATAAATTTTCAGTCGTGTTACTTTTCAAACAGACCTCGAATATATATATATATATATATATATATATATATATATATATATATATATATATATATATATATATATGATAAAATGCTGTATTTATTAGTGATAAAGAGAATGGAAATAGATGTGGATACTGAAAACACCGCGCGATGACAGTGATTCATTACCTGAAGATTGCGTTGAAGCATGAAGAAAACTGTCGCTGCTCGATGTTGATCACAGTGCATAAGCATAATATTTATATATACATGTGTGTAATTTCGTTAAATACTCGTTGATAATACAAATGGCATCATCCACATACAAAAAAAAAAGGCTAAAAAAATATTGGAAGTATATAATAAAAAAGAAAAAAACAACACTCAGTATCAACGATGAACATGGCCACAATGTGCTGATCCTGTTTCGAAAATAAAACATTCCTAGAACTATAGAGACATACATAAAACGATCCATACATTTAGTTGAAGTAAAATAAAATTCATACTTGAAAATGACTAAAGATATAGCCGAAAGCGCTTGGATATATAAAACATTCGAACGATTTTTATATATTTTATATCCCGAAAGGGGGAAAAAAAAAAAAAAAAAAAAAAAAAAAAACACATAAAAAGGATATAAAAGAACTTAACCACTGTACTTTCTCGGTCACTTAACTTGCATAACAAAGGAATTGCTGCCCAAATACATATACATACATTATATAAATTATTTTTTAAAAATATGATTCCATCGCTACAGAAGAATATGCTTATAAAGATTAGTTATTGCAAAAAAAAAAAAGATGAAATTAATTGAATTTAATTTTTATAATTAAAGTTTTTAGCTCCCGTTTTTGAAACAGGAGAACTCATATGTAGCGATGGAATCATATTTTTTTTTTTTAAAATAATTTTAATTTAGGCTCTACTTATGTATTGAGCACTGTTTTGTTTTGTCTTTTTTAACAAAAATACTAAAGAACTTCGGATTATCAACCTAACGGTTCTTTCCTATTTTTCTATATATCTGCACACACATATATATATATATATATATATATATATATATATATATATATATATATATATATATAGTGTGTGTACACACAGACAAGTTATTCACTAAGTTTAACACCGGCTGATGCAGTGAAGAATTTCGCTTGCATATACATGACAGTCATAAACTACAGGAATTAATACCAATTCTTCTTACTTCCATTCGTCTCCCCGTACAGAAAAACGGTTCACAGACTCACTGGGTGGCTGTTTCTCGTGAGCTTTCTGTAGGAAATAGTTGTGGTGAAGGTGTCAGTACTACTTTCAATCGGCTTTTAATTCAGAGTTGTCCATCTGGATTCGATGTCAACCAAGGCTAGAGAGCCAAGTCTACCTGCTGTTTAACACCAATTTGGTTGGTGGGGGTGGAGTAGAGAAATGTAAAGTTTTTTTAGGTATTTTGTGAGAAAGGGAACACAATGGACCGCGCACATCCAAAGCAGATTTTGAAGTTAACAATTAAAGAAAATAAAGGGAGCGGGAAAAACACGGATTTCCACGATCGTTATAATGGCCGAAAGTATACTCGAAAAGCGTTGCATCATTATTGTTTGAACAACCAGTCCATGGTGATATCCATTCGTGATAATACGCCTGGATACATTAGAAAGTTTATGGAGAATTAGTGGTAAGTAAACTGCACTCAAACAAACTGGGTCAATAAAGAAAAAACAAACTGGGTCAATAAAGAAAAAGAAAACTGGGTCAATAAAGAATATAAAGAAAAAGGAGCATCTAAAACATCTTTAATATCTAAATATGTAAGAAAAATGAAAAGTTTATGCGGGCAATGTGCGTTTGCGGGCTTAGCTTAGCCAAAAAAAAAAAAAAAAAAAAAAAAAAAAAAAAAAAATGTAAATAAAAGCGTCCTTGTGTATTTCAGTAAATGGCTAGCTTTTCGACATAGTAATTTCTCTTGCGGTCTACCATAGACTAACAAGGTGATCAGTCTTGCTTGATTCTAAATGAATAAAGTTGTAGAAGATGGACATTTGAATTTGGCGCGTATATTGTCAGTGTCACGTGATCCTTACAGGAAAAGTGGTTGGCTCTTTCTTTAGACATAGGTCCTCGTTTTTTTTTAAAAATTATTCCGGGCTTGATCAAGCTAATTTTTCGATCGATTCTTCTAAATTACAATATATTCTTTTGTACGTATCCTTGCCAACGGATTTTTTTTCTTTTTAATAAAACATTCCTTTGTAATTATGCTGAACACGTGTACATGAGAGCGAGTAAAAAGATTCATATGAGTATTTCTTTTCATAACCGGCGAGTGAAACCCATAAAAGATATCAATTACTCGCTTTCATTCAATGACTTCGTCTGCTCCATTCCTTACTAGACATATTTTTATGGCCGATACTGTTTCAGCTGCAGTTTCCTTTTATTCAGAAATATTTCAGGAAAAGATATGTTGCCGCAAAACTTACAGGCGTGACAAGAAGCAGAGAAAAGAAATCCTTCAAGCATTTATGATATAATCATTTATTTTTTATTATTCACTATAATTCGTTTTTCTTGTCTAAACTCATCTTGGCTTACGGCCATATCACATTGAATCACTGGTTTCGGTACGATCACCGAAGTTAAGCAACGTCGAGTCTGGTCAATACCAAGATGGATGACCGCTTCTGAATACCAGGTACTGTAAGCTTGGGTGTGTGGGTGGTGTGCTGGATAATGTTTCGGAATTGTTAATTGGAGAGCAGGGTTCCAATTCCCGTTAGGTTTGACGTGTACACTTATGCGCAAATACACTGGGGGAAAGTAAGAATACAACTCTTCTCCCCCAGCTATGGGTTAATTAAGATTTGTATCACTAAAACCATTATTACTTGAAAAAAATCTTACAAGCTAAAAATATTTTCCAGCTTTAAATAACCAGCAAAGTGTTGGTAAACCGTAAAAAACGAATCAATCAAACTCATCTTTGTTAGTTTTAATTCCTGAATGCTGACAATTCTTACGTTTGCTCAACACATTTCTTTACAAAAATTAAGCAATGCATTTACATTATACGCGTAGCAGACGTATTCTATACAAGTTTAAAATCCGCCCTATCTGGCAGAATTTAAGCTAGCTCCTACAGAGGGCTCTAGATTAAGCCATTATCACAATAGGTAGGGAGAAGTAGATGCGATAGGCAACAATAAACTACAGGAAAACTCAAATTGATCGCCGCATTTAAGTATTGCAATAATATTTAAGCTTATCTTTTAAAAGTCCAACAATAATTCTTCTGGCGCCATTTAATTTAAAAACAGTGATGTACGTAGGTCCTTATTTTCCGTAAAAACAATTATTTTATTTCATAGGTGACTTTGGGAATAATCAAAATTAATTGCAAAATCCAGCCAAATTTATTTAAGTTATAAAAATTGTTATCGTAAAGTATAAAATAAATATCGCCGCAAATAATTGCAGTAAGGAAAACTTGGGGAGCAAGCATTTCAGGATTGCGGGTCCGGATCCTGGGCTAGGAATATTTTTTAATCTGCTCACGAATTCGGCCTGATTGCAGAATGGTACATGTTGGGCTACGCCCTCCAGGATTAAAGTTAAAAAAGACTGACACAGTGACACACTAGCAATCGCATTTATTTTATAGATTGTTATTTTTTTTTCCCTAATTATTCACCCACATGCAGAGCGATAAAGCCACTAAGACGCAAAGGGTTACGAAGGGTGAAAGAAACGAAAACTTTTAAGGGGAGGAAAAAAAAAAAAAAAAAATCAAAGAATAGGTTTCAAAGAGGCAGAAATTATGACAGACACTGCCTTTAAATTTTTGATGACCGTAGGTGACAGGTAAAAAAGAAGCCAGAATAGAGTTCCCCAGGTGAGGATGTGTAACTGTTAGGATAGAACTAACGGTTACATCACGCTATTTTAATAGTAAAACTATGACGCCTAACTGCCAAACTAGTAATGCGCTTAAATCCATAAAGTCGAGGGCCAAAAACGGAAAGCCAGTAAAATCGATTCTCTTAGCTTTATCCACACCCACGCGACATTTTAACATGTTTATTATACGGTGGATATTGCTAGAGAAGTGAAAATTTACATCACGAGGTGTGTTGCTTTTGATATGTTAAAAACAGAATTTCATTTTACTATCAAAAATGGAAGCCTGCCGGCTGAAAAAGTGACACACTGTTCCGTACATCTGAAGAAGACCGTGAAGTGGAAATATCGAAACCTCAAATGCATGAATAGTTAAGAGATGCCAGAAAAATGAATAAATAAATAGAAAGATCACATAAAAACGTTTATTGAACTTAAGATAAATTAATTTCATTTGTAGACGCCATTATGTTTGTAGGTGTCTAGATTCATGATTATTTGGTATTTTCTGAATCTTGTAAGCTTTTCCTGTTTGCTTTATATATAGACTTAAGATTATTATTAGTATTATTAATAAACAATAATAAGTAATATTAATGCAGGATTATTATTAATCTTTATTTAATACGTTTTTTATGATCTTATAATAATTGTTAATTTATACAGTAATATTATTGATTAATATTAAAGAATAATTAATATTATTAATGTCAAAAATTATTATTAAAGATTAATACTATTATTATTTAAAAGATAATATCTTGATGTCATAAAAGTAACAAAGAATAACATTGGAGAAACTTAAAAGTATTTTTCTTCATAAGTAACTATTGAGAGTTACAATTTCTAAATTCCCTGAAGTGGAAACACTGTCATTTTTCCGGGTTTTATTTTGTTATGGAGCATATCAAACTTTACGAGAATATTTTGATGATGGATTTTTGATATACGCTTACTTTGAAATCAGCACGTTTTAGCATGAGTCCAAGGAGCGGTTATCTTGGTTTGTTTCATAAGTAAATTAAATATATTGATTTTCTAAGTGTAACTTAGATGTGGCACAAGGCCGAAAGTATGGGACACCTAGTGAGGATCGAACTCACTTTTCAGTCGTAACTAATCTAGCAAGACAAGCTTGCTAACCGTTACACCACGCCGAGGTGCTCTCATTCATTTTCCAAGCATAGCTTAGATGTGGCACAAGGCCGAAAGTATGAGGCACCCAGTGAGGATCAAACTCACTACTCAGTCATAATAGTTCAAGTAAATTAAATATATGCCCAATGTTGTTCAGTTACTCAACAAAATTGAGCATACTATTGAATTTACTTAGTTTAAATATCTGAAAAGTGTTTTTACAGAGGACGAAAAATGGGACACTGGAAAAACACATTGTATTAATGAAAGTTGCCTTCCAGAAGGCAAGCAAAGTTTTAAGAAACAGCGGGAAAATTTGGTTAAAAAAAAAAAAAAAAAAAAAAAAAAAAAAAAGAAAGTGTTAAACGATTATGTAATATAGGTCCTTCGATATGTCAATATATGTTGGACAATCTTCTTACAGGTGAAGACACCTGCATGAACAGAAATCTTATTCTACAAAGGATGCTGAGAATACCATCGACTGAACATGTGAGTAAGGAGGAAGTTTCAAAGAAATTGTAAGCAGAAAAGACGCTTATACTTAGAAACAGTTAAAATTTCTAGGACACATAAGAGAGGCTGGAGAATTTAATGATATAGTCATAAAACTCCATCGATATCTCATAAACATACCTAAACAATCAAAATATTTTCGATATACTGATTATGATTTATAAATAGACATCTTTCTATTTTCAGACAGAAAGCAAAAATCTAATTCTAGTAAAGTTCATTACATCCGCAAACACCCGTAGGGAAAGGTATAAATCCATCTTCTCTAGCTATGGGTTAAATAGTGGCACTTGCACGTGGAAGAATCATTATCTCAAGAAAAAATAAAAAATAAAAAACAAAAGGTTGATAAGCCGTAAAAAAAGGAATCAATTCTATTTTCAGAAACTCGGTAAAGATAAGATAATAAAAAAATTCCATCTCATTAATTTCTTTTATCAGCGCCATTTGTCAGTGTCAAGTCGAGAGGCAATCTTAAGCACTGTATTTATTATACAAAAAACGCATATGTCTAATCTTATCTCTGCTAATGGCAATGGTACAGAGGCAGCTTTGCTATTTGTTCATTTAAATATGTGAAATAATTCATTTTTTAGCTCAAAATTTCCCGAGTGTAGGGGAAAGAGACGATCTCTTCTCTTACGGGCGGGATGTGGCAAGTCTCTCACCGTTCTATTGCTACTTCTATGGAAAGTGCTCGGAAGAACAATATTCATTGGTAACGCCAGTTCTAACCTTTACGGCAAGAATTCGCCATGCCACTCGCATTGTAGCAACCACCCACATACTTTCCATGTTCCATTTATAAGAAGTTCCACTTGAACAGCTGCCTACTAGCCACTGCTCTGTGAAACCGATAATTACAATCTTATACTGTTCAAGTCTAGGGTTAACTTCCTCTCGTATCCGTATAAACTACCTCCTAATGAGATGGTCGAGTGGCCCACGGGCCGTTGTTTTAACCCTTTATCCCAGTTACAGGTTGAACCTTACTGTTAAATAAAATAAAAATATTCAGGTTAGAAACTATATTTGACAAGTTATTTCATTAGTGGCAGAAATTTTTTTTCCAGCGTTTTTGGTAGAGAACGTCTTATGACAATATAGTTGTCAGAAATCCGTTAAAGAATTAATATCTCAACTTAACCTGTTCAAGTTTAGGAATAACCGAAATGAAAAAGAGGAAGAAAAAAAAAATGAAAAAGAGGAAGAAAAAAAAAAATGAAAAAGAGGAAGAAGAAAAAATGAAAAAAATTCAGCGGAGAAACTATATTCGACAATTTCATTGGTGACAGAAGAAAATCTCTTCCAGCCTTTTTGTCAAAGAATGCCTTATGAGTTGTCAGAAATCAGTTAAAGAATTGATATCTAAATAAGTTATTTTAATTTAAAGACAAAACAAAACAAAAAATAAATAAATAAACACCACCACCAACAACAACAAAAACTCGTATTCCTATTCTTGAGTATTCTGTTAGAGAGAAACTGCTGAGAAAGTTGAGACATTATACGCTGGTTGATCATTAAAAAGCCGGAACCAAAATGAATTTCTTTTATGAATCAACCAGATGAGCCACAAAGAGTCACACCGAAGGGCGGGTTCTTTAAAGAAGTGCCCGACTTCCAAACTGAAGAAAAAAAAAATGAAGCTATTAACTCAAAGACAGGGACCAAACCCGCTGCGCATTCTGCCTTTGCTTACGCACCATGTTGTCACCCTAAAAGAGTTTTATTGCCTGCCTCATGTTAATTCACCTGTCAAATAGACGGAATTTCTGCCGTTAGGGTTGGGTGAGATTCCATGTTCTCTGGTGAGACGGGGTGGAATAGTCCGTTTGACTGCGACTGAATACTGGCAAGATGAAAGGGAACCACGCACATGCGCAGAGGACATTCATTGATTGTAAACAAACATATATTAGACATGCGCACATCGACTAAGATTAGAAGAAAGATTTAGCTTTCTCCATTCTCATGTAGTGGCCGCTGTCATGGTTGAAAATGGGTGAAACAGATTTTGCAGTTAGTATTTCATGGAAGAACGTAGAATTTGAGAGAGTGATTTTTATAAGAACTCATTTATTTCATTATTTATTCTAAATCACACCTGAGATGACAGAGGCTAGACAATTTTCAGCATACCTACCGAGTGGAGACAGCGCAGAGGGGAGTGATATCGATATATTCGTAGCGGACCGAGTGCTATCTATATATTAGTAAGCTGTCCCAGATGATTTTCAAACGATAAGGATAATGCTATTATTTTCTAGCCATATCAGAGTCGATCTGAGAGAGAACGAGAGCGAGAACGAGAGCGAGAACGAGAGCGAGAACGAGAGTGAGAGAGAACGAGAGAGAACGAGAGCGAGAACGAGAGTGAGAGAGAACGAGAGCGAGAATGAGAACGAGAGGAGAGAGAATGAGAGCGAGAATGAGAATGAGAATGAGAGGAGAGAGAATGAGAGAGAATGAGAGGGAGAATGAGAGTGAGAGAGAATGAGAGAGAATGAGAGCGAGAATGAGAGCGAGAGAGAATGAGAGCGAGAATGAGAGCGAGAGAGAGAATGAGAGCGAGGAGAATGAGAGCGAGAGAGAATGAGAGAGAATGAGAGCGAGAGAGAATGAGAGAGAGAATGAGAGCGAGAATGAGAGTGAGAGAGAAGAGAGAATGAGAGTGAGAGAGAATGAGAGAGAATGAGAGCGAGAATGAGAGAGAATGAGAGAATGAGAATGAGAGTGAGAGAGAATGAGAGAGAATGAGAGTGAGAGAGAAGAAGAGAGAGAATGAGAGAGAGAATGAGAGAGAATGAGAGAGAATGAGAGGAAATGAGAGAGAATGAGAGGAGCGAGAATGAGAGAGAATGAGAGAATGAAGCGAGAAGAGAATGAGAGAGAATGAGAGAGAGAATGAGAGAGAATGAGAGAGAAGAGAGAGAGAAGAGAGAGAATGAGAGAGAATGAGAGAATGAGAACGAGAGAGAATGAGAGAGAATGAGAGGAATGAGAAGAGAGAGAATGAGAGAGAATGAGAGGAAGAGAATGAGAGAGAATGAGAGAATGAGAGGAGAGAATGAGAGAGAATGAGAGAGGAGAATGAGAGAGAATGAGAGGAGTGAGAATGAGAGAGAATGAGAGGAGAGAATGAGAGAGAATGAGAGAGAGAATGAGAGAGAATGAGAGAAGGAGAATGAGAGAGAATGAGATGAAAGTGAGAATGAGAGAGAATGAGAGTGAGCGAGAATGAGAGAGAATGAGAGAGGGAGAATGAGAGAGAATGAGAGAGAATGAGAGGAAAGGAGAATGAGAGAATGAGAGAGAATGAGAGAGGAAAGAGAATGAGAGAGAATGAGAGAGAATGAGAGAGAATGAGAGGAAAGGAGAGAGTGAGAATGAGAGGAGAGAGAGAATGAGAGGAAAGGGAGAATGAGAGAGAATGAGAGTGAGAGAATGAGAGAGAATGAGAGGAGGGAGAACGAGAGAGAATGAGATGAGCGAGAATGAGAGGAGAGAGAATGAGAGAAGAAGAGAGAGAGAGAGAGAGAGAATGAGAGAGAGAGAAGAGAGAAGAGAGAAGAGAGAATGAGAGAGAGAGAGAGAACGAGAGGAATGAGAGGAATGAGAATGAGAGAGAACGAGAGTGAGAGAGAACGAGAGTGAGAGAGAACGAGAGAGAAAGAGAGAGAACGAATACGAGACAAAGAAATAGTGAAAGAGAACGAAAGAGAAACGAAGAATTAGAGAGAACAGCGACAGAGTGACAGAGACAATGAAGGAGAGGGAGAGAAGGAGAAGGAGAAAGGGAGAGAGAGAGGTAGAGAGAGAAGAAATGATTGAAAAAAACGAATTTAATTAAAAAAAGAATGGAAAATAAGTCGAGAGAAAGAGAGAGAGAGAGAGAGATCATATTTGAATCCATTGATTAATCCTAGAATGCCACTGACAATACTGCCCTGTCAATAAAATGAAGATTCCCCACTTTTTTTTTTTTGTATTTATAAAGCTATTTACAACTTTGCAGAACATGCATGCATTTCGCATATTTAAATAACATTCACATGCAAGGTGCGCGCACCAATTCGTATGACGCCAGAGTGAAAGACGGTCTTATGATTAGCTGCTGGGCTAAAGCTCAACTAAGCTTAGGAAATATCGACACCAAATGTAAACGCGCCTAAGATGCGCACATAAACACTTGATATAGCTTAACAGAAGGTCAACACATTTTATGTTGATCACATCTTAAACCAGAATCCCAATCGCTAAGTCATTTTTGTCATGAAGTCATCTGTTGACAAAGTTATGATCTTTGTTAATTGGTGGCTGTCATGTAGGCAAGCGTACACTGAACAGTTTTGTGCTTATGCTTGGCACTGTAATATTTAGTAGTGACTTTAGTTGACCTAGGCGGAAATTATCAAGTCCTTTCCTAATTGATGCAGATAGTTCATGTCACGTATTTGATATCCTAATGTATTAAGAAGTATTATGGTAATAGGCTACGTATAAATATTTGTAGACTACGAGGTTTGCGTAAACATTAACCAACCAGATATCTCAACTCCCAGGAAACATTCTGAGTTACTTTTTGACGAAAGAAACGCTGTTTTATATTCTACCAAATCTGGTTGTATACTTTGGTTCACCATGCTGCAAATAATTTCTATCTAATATTCTTAAACGGCCACCAACCATAGTGATGAAATTATTACACTATTGACCTTGTCTTCATTGGCATATTCGCGACGTTTCGGCCGTTGTACGCTCCGACCTTCTTCAGGGGATATAGGTTTGAATTTCGAACTAAACGCTTTTAGTCCACAGCTGGTAGGTTGTCCTAATTCTACGTACTGTGCCTTTTTTATATAACAGTTTCAGTTTATTTCCCTTAGTAACTAAACTCTTCGAGATTTTTGTTCCACAAAGCGTTGGATGAGCTAATTCAAATTGTGAGTTCAATATCTCGCCACAGCACAGGTAAACAAAAAGTTGGAGGGGAGTTACTAAAGGAAATTATATCTCCTGAAGAAGGCCAACGGGTACAACGGTTTATACGTCGTGATTATGACAAAGAGGATTACAACAGTTTGATTTTTTTTAAGCATTTCACCCCAAGCAAGGCACACAAGGGATTACAGAGGGTAAGAGCAATAGAAAAGAGACATGTTTGAGGAAAGGATAAAGAGAAGGACGGTGAAAAGATCAAGGCATCAGAAGATGTCCATTGACATTACAATTGAATGTTTGAAGATTATAGCTATCAGGGAAGCAAGTAAGAGGAAGAGAGTTTCGCAGTCGGGAAGTGCAAGAGAAGAATCTATTGGAGTAGAAGAGGCGGTTACATTTAACCGTTTCCACAGTGAAAGGGGTGGACAGAGATGCCAACCTAGTAGCAAAGCTTAAATTCATGCAGTTGGGGCACCAGGGGAAATAGCTCGTCAGAGAAGTTGCCATGAAAATAATTGTAGAAAAGACAGAGGGAAGCCACATCACGTCTGTGAGAAAGTGACTGTAGTCGAGATGCCAGGTCAGGGCCTATCACATTGCGTCTTCTTTGTCGAGAACCTCGAGACGAACAGCGGGGGCACCAGACCATATATGCTAATAGTATTCAATGAGAGTGTAAATAGTTACAATACCTTATCTCAGACAATTCGATATTGTTTAAATGTGTTGCTTTTAACGTTATTTTAACATATGTAAACGAAAAAAAAAAAAGAAAAAAAAAAGAAACCATATAATAATTATCAATGTGTATTTATTTATTTATATATTTCCTGTCACATCTATAGTGGGCTGGAAGGTAATTCAATTTAAGTTAGCAAATTTATGAGTGATTACTTGTCTCAGCGGTTTTAATCTATACAAAAATATTTATCTGTATTTAGAAAAGAAAAGTTTAATTAATCAGTCCTTTTCCTCCTATGTTTCTTAGCTTGGAGTCTTTTTCAAGCCTATCATGTGAGGCACCTTTGTCTATTAAGATGATCTGGCTTCAACTTGGTCTTGAAATAGACAAAGACTGCTACGACGAAAACTAATGTTTATTACAAGATATATTTCTATTTCATTGTTTTATTAAATCCATACAATTTTTAACGTTAAAAGATACCGAGAAAAAGGGGATTTATATAATACTAAGAGTAACCAATGAATTATAAATACCATTGGACTTTTAAAAATATAACAGGAAGGAATTAATTAAACGATTTATTCTGGAAAAACTTGAAGGGCGAATACAAGAATTTATATCTTCCATATCACAATAGATCCCGGTGAAGTCAGTTGACGGGATTCCTGGCCGGCTCAAGGATCTGGTAGAGAAATCTGGTGCCCATATCGAATTTTAAATAAAAACTCATGCTAAACGCTTTTCTCTCATATTGATTTCTTGTAAAAATTATAATTAATAAATAAATTATAAAGTATTGTAATATGGGGAGTTACTATTCAATCAACCTCTAGATAAATACGTTAAAAATTGTGATTTTTCTCAGCCAAATTATTCAGAAAAATGCAAAATATTAAAAACACGAATATATCTCCTCATAGAAAATATACAGATAAAAATTTCTCGAGTATAACGCTAGAACTCTCAGATTCCTGATACGACTGATGCTAGATTCAGATTCATCCAGAGAAGCTTACTAATAGCCCGCAGAGTAGTTTTTTTAAATGTGTCACGTGAAACTTTCGTATTGTATTCTAAAACACGTAGAACTGACAACTGATGAGGAACTAGCGCCTTTTTCTGGATTATTTAACGTAAACAGATGCATTTATAGCAGCAAGAATCGAAAGGAAATAAGCGGGCACAAGAAACAGTAAATGCCGTCTTTGTAGAAATAAAAATGAGACGATAAACTACGTCATAGGAGAATGCACCAAGCCAGCTCGAAAGTAACACAAGAAGAGATAGAAACAGAGATGTACTGAGAATTATACAAATAATCTGGGTTCAGCAAGAAAAAAAATGTGTATTAAGATTTATAACAGACTGCCCCCCCCTCCCTGGGTAAGACGATAAACTACATCTGCGTCCTGGGTATGACGATGTCCAGCAGCAAGGCCTCTGACCAGGAGGTTTGATGAGCGTGGAATCACCTCTTAATGGCTGGGGTTCCTAGGTTCATCCTGACCCGGGATAGTAGCACCTGTTAGGGTCCAAGCTACGGGTAAATAGTTAACCCCGAAACTGGGGTCAAAACGCTATGAAAGTGCAGAAATAGGTTTTAATACCAGAAATAATTTGTAAAAAAATTATCAGCAAGAAAAAAAAAAAAAATTACAAGAAATACATTTTTGAAAAAAAAAAACTATACATTTTTTGAAAAAAATATTACCAACAATATATATATATATATATATATATATATATATATATATATATATATATATATATATTACCAGTTATACATTTTTTTTTTTTTTTAGCAAAAAAAAATATTACCAGCAATACTTTTTGAAAAAAAGTTATTAGGAGTAATACATTTTTGAAAAAAAAAAAAAAAAATTATGACCAGAAATAGATTTTGACAAAACAAAATATTACCAGTAATAAAAATTTTGTCGGCATTAAATAACCCATTGATATGCTGTAAAAAAAAAAACAAAAAAAACATACCAAACCAAACAAACTGAAATCACAATCAAAACAAAACCGTTGGCCACCGTAAACAAGGATAAAAAGGCCACGATACTAGATTGCGGACGTGACAGTATCAACGAACCATTGAGTAAGAAAGTCAAGAGCGTACCAGTGTGTTTCTCAGTAACTGAGAAAAAAGTATAATGCATGAATGTCAAAGTGGTTACCATAATATTTGGCATTCTCCGAACAGTGCCAAAGACTAGAATCAAGATGGATGGTATTAGAATTCCCCAAAAAGTTGTCGGGGTGACAGGTCTGCGAAGATACCGACAAATGCTATAATTAACAGGCTTCAATGTAAACATGCAAATTGAGAAAGTATTTTGATCAGAAGCTCCTGAACTACTGTGTCACAATTGTCTTAATTGTCTCACCTCAAGTTTGGGGTTAATGTCACTAGAATGCACAGGGTTACATGGAGAGAAAGAGAAGACTGAGAATAGGGAGGAACAAGAAAAGGGGGAAAAAAATGAATAGAGTTCAAGATAGAAGATGGCAATTGATGTTGTATTTAGTTGTTTTTTTTAAGATTGTAATTATCAGGAAGGGATTTCCACAGGTGGGAAGTGCGAGAAAGAAATTTAGGTTGCATCCAGCTAGTTCAACCTTAAAACAATGAAACCTCAGTGCAATTAATTAACTTTCTTTAACTACACTTAATTCTTCTTTCAAATACATTCTGAAATATAAGCTCTCCTGTCGATTTCGAAGAATAAGGGCAAAACGGTCCAGTTTTTAGAATGGAACCGCTACGCTAGCCGTACAGATACGATTATGTAGGTAGAGGCTTCTGTAGAATTAGACATACTTTCAGAAGAACTGATCACAATGAAATGGAGTGTTGTGTGCCGTGAATTCTCCAAACAGGTTTAAGTGTAGAGATTTAGTCTGCCTGCCACACCAGTCAAGGGAGTCCAGTCTGTTCTGCTATTTGACCTGTAGCTGCAGGATCAAGGAGTCTTGTTTTTGTTTTTTAGGGGCGTTAGCGCGAGATTTGAAAGAAACCAAATCAACGGGATACTGAACTTTGTTCACCGATTCCAATTTCAGTACCGACAACCGTTGCACTACCCACGCATTCTGTTTTAAAATATATTTACCTTGGCTTGGTAAAAAAAAAAAAAAAAAAAAAAAATCACAACGAGAGAGAGAAACACAACGAGCGAGAAACAGAGAAAAACACGCGCAACAAAAGTGAGAGAAAAACACGCGCAACAAAAGTGAGAGAGAGAAAAAACAAGAGAAAAAACACAAAA